GCCACCTTCTGCCACTTTCCAGATCCAGATTCCCTGGAGAAAGAATCTAACTAGCCAGTTGGGGGGGGGGGGCACGTTAGTGTCTACAATGACAGGAAGCAGATCAGTGGGGGCGATGGTAAGGAGGATGGATTACAAAGAAGCACGAGAAAACTTTTGAGGTGTTAGAAGTGTTCATAATTTGGATTGTGGTGATGGTTTAATGGATGTATACATGTGTCAAAACTGATCAAATTGTACACTTGATGTGCAGTTTATTGGGTGACCTGTACAAACATTGGAGACAAGGAGTTTGAGACCTCGTAGGACTTTCCAGTAGATGTGTCTGTTAGGGAAATAACCTGTTTGTGTTTAGGAGTCATTTTTCTAAGATCTAATCCTGTTAACTCTATTTAAAAACCTTCAAAGGATCTCTACTGCTGTAATGGAGAGGAGGTTGCATGCCCCCTTCTCTAGTTTAATACTTCTCCTAAAAGGCATCCCACTCCCTTGGCACTGAGAATCACTGCTGGGAGTGCTGCTCCAGGGGTATTGGAAGGGGGGGCGGGGAATGCTGGGAGTACAGGCTCCCTGCTGTCCAAGCCCCTCCATGACTGGAATGCTTTTCCCACGTTCACCTGGCAAAACGCCGTTCAAGCCTTTTCTCTGCAGGGCTTTCCCTGACGCTCATCTCCTAGGAAACATCTTCTTTGGGGAGTGTGCCAGAGAGGACTTCCAGGGACTTACAGTCTGGTCAAGGGAGACAAGCACCCAAGGTAACTGCTACAACAGAGGCACAACTGAAGTAGAAAAATTTACTGAATTGTGAGGTTGATACTTCATTTGCATATGGCTCTACTGGAGGCTCCAGGAAGGCAGGGGAAAGGGCCAGTATGCTGGGCACAGGTAATAATTTTGCTTATGTAAGGTAGATAGTCCTGGCTAGGAACCAAATTGTTTATCCTGATTTACAAAATGGTAAGGTTGTCCAGGGGAAAGGCTAGGACTTAGAAGACTGCCATCCTGGCAGCAGCACAAGAAGGGGCTGACAGCCAATAAAATTGGGTGGAGATGAATATCTCTTATCCCCTGCCCTGGGCCCCTGGAGGTGTGTTGACAAAAGGACAGCTGCTCCAGTTTCTGAGGTTTAGCATTTAATCCTTGGAGAACACTGGTAGCTCACCACCATGTGAGGCTTCATTCATCATCTATCTGTTTTTTGTTAGTGCCCCCAAGTCAATTCCAACTCCTAGCGACCCTGTGTACAGCAGAATGGAACCCTGCCTGGTCTTTTTTGCACCACCCTCTCACTTCCGGTGCTACATCAGACAATGCTCCACTGCTATTCATAGGGTTTTCATGGCCAATTTTTCGGAAGTGAGTGGCCAGGTCCTTCTTCCTAGTCTGTCTAGTCTGGAAGCTCCACTGACACCTGTCCACCATGGGTGACCCTGCTGGTATTGCTTTCAGCATCACAGCAACACGAAGCTGCCAGAGTACGACAACCCAGATGGGTGGTGTGGTTCCCTGACAGGGAAATGAACCTGGAGCAGAGAATGAGGAATCTTAACCACTGGACCACCAGGGCTGGCAGCAAGATGAATATAAGTTAATGAAAAGGTCAGCCTGGCCAGTCCTCAGATAAAAGAATATCCAAGAGAAACAGAAATTCAAATTCTAAGGGTTAAATTCCAAAAATGGACAATTGCTTGCATTTACTGACAAGCTGACCATGAATTCCAGAGAAGGTTGAGATTTTTCTTGTATCTGGGTTGGTCTCCCCCATAGCATATTCCATTATGTATTGAAGATTGTTAGAACCACAGTCTCTCAGAGGCCATCCAGCCCAACTGACTACTGATTTGCTGTGTTACTTTTTCACAATTTAATTTGATGCTTAATAGTCTCTCACAAGCATCTTTTTTTTTTCTTTAAAATGTAACCTTAAAAGGTTTCCTGGTAAATGATTTTATCCCTATAGGCACACACCATTCATTTTAAAAGTGTAAACATGCAGAAAAATAGGATCCAATATGCATATGCTCAGCACCCAATTTAGCATAAAATAAGCAATATTGTAAACAGTGTGTGTACTCTGCTCTTTGGCGTATCCCATATATTCTGGATGTTTCTAGTGTTCTCTGGACATCTTACCTAGTCTGTCAATATTGTCCTTCACATTGCTGGAAGGCAGGGACTGGGTGATGCTCTTGCAATTCATTCTATATAGAGATGCATACACATAGATGAGCCAGCCCTGGTGGTCTAGTAGTTAAGATTTGAGGCTCTCATCACTGTGGCCTGGGTTCATTTCCTGTCAGGGAACCACACCACTCATCTGTCAGTTGTCATGCTCTGGTGGCTGTGTGTTGCTGTGATGCTGAAAGCTATGCCACTTGTATTTCAAATACCAGCAAGGTCACTCATGGTGGACAGGTTTCAGCAGAGCTTCCAGACTAGACAGACTAGGAAGAAGGACCTGGCCACCGCCTTCCGAAAAATTGGCCATGAAAACCCTATGAATAGCAGCGGAGCATTGTCTGATAGAGCGCCGGAAGGTGAGAGGATGGTGCAAAAAGACCAGGCAGGGTTCCCTCTGCTGTACACAGGGTCACTAGAAGTCAACTGTCGGGACTAACAACAGATACACTTGGCTTCCTATCCTTTTCTTTGCCATTCTTGGTTGGATTCACAGTTTCTACCCCGTGGGCTTTCTTCTTCCTTACTGATAACTGCTATGCCTTTAAAAATATCTTTAAATAAAATGGGGGCCGGCCCCGTGGCTTAGCAGTTAAGTGTGCGCGCTCCGCTGCTGGTGGCCCGGGTTCGGATCCCAGGCGCGCACCAACGCACCGCTTCTCCAGCCATGCTGAGGCCACGTCCCACATACAGCGACTAGAAGGATGTGCAGCTATATGACATACAACTATCTACTGGGGCTTTGGGGGAAAAAAATAAATAAAAAAAATAAATAAATAAATAAAATGAATTTCATCAACTTATTCTATTTTTTCCCCTGGGTTTTCACCAACCAAATAACATCTTTAGGAATGAAAGCACTTACCCTTGCTTGTTTTATGTATGTCTCTGGTGTTTTCTCACACTCTGCCTCTGTCCTCTAATAAGACGTTCTCTTTCTGTCTTTGTTCGCCAAATGAACATGCACTAAACCTATCGATCTATGTAAATGCTGGTTCCCAAACCTAGAGACCTCCTCAAGGGAATAAGAAGTAAGCCCAGAAGTCTGCACCACTGGGATGGAAGGCAGAGTAACAAGAGGTCTAACCTTAACCAGAAGCCGAGGTAACAATAGCTAGCAGTTACTGAGCACTTACCACGTGCCAGGTAAGGTTCTAATGCTGTAGATGTATTAACTCATTCCACCCCCACAGTGACACTGAGACAGGTACTGCCCCAGATAAGAGAAATGAAACACAAGTGAGTTGTCCAAGGTCAACAGCCCGTGTTATACTATGACATCCTTAGTCATTGAGTTCCTCATTCGTTTGGGAACATTTGCTGTCATCAAGAAGTGAGTCAAGAAGTGGCTGAAGTATGGCATTGACTAATGGTTAAATTGAGGCGCTTACCATGTGCTAGAACCCTGGCTATGGAATGGCTTCATAGGCATTATCACTTTCAGTCCCCCCTTCAGGATGAGGGAACAGATTTTAGAGACATTAAGTAATTTGCCCAAAGTCACACAGCTGACAAGCAGTGGAGCTGGGGCTGTTTGAATCCAAAGTCCGCGACGCCCTTAACTTCTGCACTACATTGACCCAGATGCATGTGGGACAAGGAAGATCCGGGTGGGGAAACGTTCCCATCTTCAGCTCACCTCCCTGCTTCATGGCCAGAGTGTTCCCACTAAGCCAGCTTATGCCCCAAGCTTCTGGACACAGACCTATTTACGTAACTGATAGCAAACCAAGTACATGTGACTTTCCACATTTGCGGAGAATTCAAATAACGTCGTCAATCGCGGGGAGAGCGGACGGATCCCACTTAGCCCCGGGTTCAGATCCCATGCCCTCCGGCGGCTCGGGGCGAGGGAGGAAGCGGCTCCGGATGGAGAGTAGAGTGACAATCCGAGAAGGAAAGGCAGGCTTTCCTCCCGGGGGAGCAGAGGCGGCCCGGCGGACAGAGGGAACCTGCAGAGGGCGGTTTCTCTCCTCTTTTCCTGTCCCACCCAGTCGGCCGGCCCGCACCCCCACTCCCACTCCCGGCCGGCCTCTGCCGCCAACTCCGCTCGTCTCTCGGCGGCGTCCCCGGCTCGGCGTCCCTCGGAGGGTCCCGGCGAGGCTCTGGGTGCCCGCCCCCGGCGAGCTCAGAGACGCGGCGCGGCGCCGGCCTCCCCGCAGCCCGTCCGACTGGTAAGGTGAGCCGCGGAGGAGGGGACGGGGGCCGGGCGGGCCGGGCCGCCCACACTCCCTGCCGTCACCTCGGCCACCGCGGGCGCTGAACCGAGAGCGGCCGCAGCCTCCCGTCGCAGCGGCTGGGAGCGGGTGGCCGGGCCCGGCGCCCCGGGAGCGCGGCGAGCCCCTCCTGTGCCGGTAACACGGGGGGCTCGGGGCCGGGCCTGGGGGCGGGGCGGCGGGTCCAGACCGCCGGCGGGTCCTCGGGGCGGACCCCCGACGTCCGCGGAGGTTCCAGGGTCCCAGGGCGTCCGGGCCAAGTGGGGTTCGGCCCAGCGGCCGGCTCGTGGGGTCCGGCAGACGGTGCTCGGACGGCTCAGTGGACGTGAAGGGAGGTTCGACGGGAGCCCGGAGCACGGGCTGACCCAGACGGGCCAGACGCGACTGAGGACCCTCTCCTCCCGGTGCCGGGCCTGGCTCCCGCTCCCCGCCCCCCGCCCCCAGGGCGCGTCCCAGCCCCCCGCCGGCACCTGCGCGGCCGCGGGGCCTGCCCGCCCGGGCCTCTCCTGACACCTAGTGGATGGCTCCGCCCGACCTCGGGCTGCGAAAGAGCGGGGTTCCTGTTACCGCGGTTTGGTGACGCTGGGGCCGCTGCTAATTTGCATCACTTTGCCTAACTTTCTCAGGCCGTGAGAAATCCTTTAGGTACATGTGGTGGCCCAGTGAAAGGATCTCGGGGTAGACCGTTCAAAGGTAACGCACCCCAAATGCAGGAGGTCTCGGAACTGCTCTTGATAACGTGCGGCCTGAGGACATACTCAGGGAAACCAATAGAGAAGAGTTTAGGACCAGCTCCACGGAGAGAAGAGGAAATGGGAAGGGACTCAGGAAAACCCGGCACCAAAGGCTTTCCAGGGATTTCCAGTCGTCTCCAGCCCCAGGCAGTGGCCCACCCACCTCATTCCTGTCTTTGTCCCTCTTCTTACAGATCTGCTCCTTCCTCAAGGCGCCCATCCCCTTGCTGCGATGACTAGCCTCCCGACCACGCCCTCTCCTGGAGGTAGGTGAAGGCCTTTCCCACCCGGAATGGTAGAAACTCGTTCAACATCCCCTACCTCCAGCCCAGTCCTGGAGGTCCCTGAGGCCTCAGCCCAGATGGGAGACCCTCCCTCCTCTCTCGCCTGCCTCACACCAAGAAAGGTCCTGGGAGGAAGCAGAAGGCAATTAGATGCATGCTTTAGTGCAGTTTGAATCTGGTCTCAGGGCCCTGGGCCAGTTCCTGGCACTACCGTGTAAAGCTTTGTGACCTTGAGTGAGTCATCTAACTTCTATGCTCCAGTTTCCTCATTTGTAAAATGAGAGAAATAGTACTGTCTTTATGAGGTTATTTGTGAGGATTAAATGAGGTAACCCATATAAAACACCTACCACAGTGTCTTGTATCTAGTAAGCACTCAGTAACGCTGGTTATTATTGGGTGCTTGTGAGAAATCCGCCTTCCCCTGGAAGGGATCTGCTTGCTTTCTAATTCCACTCCTCTGATGATACACTCCAGCATCAAAAACCCACTGTTCCCTGGAGCTATGATCAGGCAGAGATCCATCTCTCATCATGCTGAGAATGGATTCCCACCTTTCGTTTCATAACCAAGCTGAGCTGGACAAACCATCAGATCTTCATGGATTGTTTTCATTATGTGCTAGTTAGGGTCAGAGAGGAACAAAACCTTGGTCGGTCGATAAACCTTTATTTTCGTATACACAGTCTCATTTGTCATTAGGACAGACGTTCTCTGCTTTACTGATGTGGAAACAGGTGAGTGACAACCCCAGGGGAAGTCTAAGACAGTGTCTTCTGTGACTGGTGGTACACACAATTCAGACTGTTGTTGTCTGGTGAGAGATAAGAAAAGGGAGAAATGGGTAGCAGTCTAGATTGGTCAGCAGAGGCTTCATGAGTGGGGAAAGAGATGGAGCCCTTCCGCTTGAAGGATGGATGAGGTTTAGTACAGGCAAAGAGAGGTGCAGCAGGTGTTCCAGATGAAGGTAGCGCCATGTGTGAAACTAGAGACTGTATTTACCCTGGACGGTGTCCTGGAGGAGAGAGCAGAGGTCCTCCAGGATTAACTTGCCCATAGGGAAAAGGTGATGCTCTGGCAACTAGCTGAGGGATTAGGATTTGGGCAAAAGGGCAACTATCTACATTCTTTTTCTTTTTTTAATTTGTGGTAAAATATACATAATATAAATGTTACAATTTTAACCATTTTTTGGTGTACAGTTCAGTGGTATTAACATTCATATTGTTGTGCAACCATCTATCTCCAGAACTGTTTCATCTTCCCAAACTGAAACTCGGTGTTATTAAACATTAACTCCCCATTCCCCTTTCTCCCTGCCCCTGGCGGCCACCATACTTTCTATCTGTATAAATTTGACTAGGTACCTCATATAAGTGGAATCATACGATATTTGTCCTTTTGTGTTAGGCTTATTTTACTTAGCATAACGTCTCTGAGGTCCATCCATGTCGTACGTGTGTCAGAATTTCCTTTCTTTTTAAGGCTGAAAAATATATAATGTATATATATCATTTTGTGTGTGTGTGAGGAGAATCAGCCATGAGCTAACATCCATGCCAATCCTCCTCTTTTTGCTGAGGAAGACTGGCCCTGAGCTAACATCCATGCCCATCTCCCTCCACTTTATGTGGGACTGCGCCACAGCATGGCCTGACAAGCGGGGTGTCGGTGCGCACCCGGGATCCGAACCCCGGGCCGCCAGCAGCGGAGCGCGCGCACTTAACCGCTACGCCATGGGGCCGGCCCCAATCATTTTTTATATATATAATATATATCATTTTGTTTATCCATTCATCCATTGATAGATACTTGGGTTGCTTCCACCTTTTGGTTGTTGTGAATAATACTGCTGTGAACGTGGGTGTACAACTATCACTTCGAGTCCCTGCTTTCATTCTTTTGGGTATATACCCAGAAGTGGAATTGCGGGATCATATGGTAATTCTGTGTTTGATTTTTTGAGCAACTGCTATACTGTTTTCCATAGCAGCTGCACCATTTTACATTCTCACCAGCAATGCACAATGGTTCCAATTTCTCCACACTTGACAGCACTTGTTATTTTCTGTTTTTTTGATAGTAGCCATCCTAATGTGAAGTGGTCTCTCATTGTGGTTTTGATTTACATTTCCCTAGTGATTAGTGATGTTGAGTGTCTTTTCATGTGCTTATTGGCCATCTGTATATCTTCTTTGGAGAAATATCTATTCAAATCCTTCCCCATTTTTTAATTGGCTTCTTTTATTATTGTTATTGAATTGTATATTTACATTCTTGACCCAGTGAGTGACATGAGTGAAGTGGTATTTTAGGACATGTCATACCCACTGGGTCCAAGCAAATGTAAGTTCAGAGACAGGAATGGAGAAATCACAGACAGGATGAGGGCTTGTACTTTGAAGGATGGGATAATTGGGGGTCTTGCCCATCTCTTCCCCACCTCCCCACCTATGCCCCCTCGCATCCCTTTTCCTTAATCAATCTATAAAGGAGATATCCTTCGGGAGTATAGAAAGTGAGGACCACATTATGATTTTCATGGGCCCTAGGCATTTTTGCCTTTGTAGGCCTGTTCCTCCATTAAAAAAGATATTTATTAAAAATTGTATTTTACAACTGCATTGGTGTAAGGAAGAATATAATGTTAATATAATAAAATCATTAATAGTTGTATTTATAATTAAAAATTGATTGATATAACAATATTACAATTTCCTTGATCTAAATGTTCTGTTTTTTTCTTGTGATTTTAAAAGAAATTAGGGGCTGGCCCAGTGGTGTAGCGGTTAAGTGCAGGCGCTCCCCTATGGCGGCCCAGGGTTCAGATCACGGGCACGCACCGATGCACCGCTTGTCAAGCCATGCTGTGGCAGCGTCCCATATAAAGTGGAGGAAGATGGGCACGGATGTTAGCCCAGCGCCAGTCTTCCTCAGCAAAAAGAGGAGGATTGGCAGATGTTAGCTCAGGGCTGATCTTCCTCACCAAAAAAAAAAAAAAAAACCAGAAATTAAAATCATTACAATTAAAATCATTACAAAACATTTTCCTGAGCCTCCAGAAGTAGTATTGTGGACCTTAGGCACCGTGCCTGCTGTGCCTAGTGTGTAAATCACCCTGTCAGAAGTAGGGTCGGATGGAACCTGGCATTGTGGGCTCTGCCCCCACACCATGAGGTAAAGTCAGTCCCTCACCACCTCGTCACACTAGCTGCCTCTAGGTTGTCTTCACTCTGGATTAGACACTCAGCATTCTTCATCTTGCTTATTCCTCACCACAACCCTGTGAGCAGGTTTTATTCTCATTTTACAGAAGCAAAAACTGAGGTTCAGGGAAGTTAAGACATTTTCAGAGGTTAAGAAATTTTCCCATGGGGCTGGCCTGGTGGCCTAGTGGTTCAGTTCGCGTGCTCTGCTTCCATGGCCCGGGGTTCACAGGTGTGGATCCCAGGAGCGGACCTATGCACCACTCATCAAGCCATGCTGTGGTGGCATCCCACATAAAATAGAGGAAGATGGGCACGGATGTTAACTCAGGGCCAATCTTCCTCAGCAAAAAAGAGGAGGATTGGCAACAGATGTTAGCTCAGGGCTAATCTTCCTCAACCAAAAAAAAAAAAAAGAAATTCTCCCAAGGTCGTGTGGCTAATAACAGCAGAGTCAGGATTTTGTGCCAAGTCTGATTTACTCCAAAGCCTGTGTTCTTTCCACCACGGTATACTGCTCTCCGAGTCTCACACCGCCCCACTGGCTGAGGCACATGAAAGAGAAGGAAGGAGAAAGGGAGCAGAATTCCAGGGCGTGTTCCCATGGGAAGGAGAATTGGGGGAGCCGCCCTTTGTGGGGCAGGTCTAGAGCAAATAGGTAGGTTGGCAGACTCAGGTGGCAAAGGATCTGATGCCTCAGTGATAAGAGATGTAGCCCCGGAACAAGGGCCACAAAGAAACCAACTGGTATCTGGGTTAACAAAAGAACAAGTGAGTGAGCAAGCTGGATCTTGAAGTTCATTTGCTGTTGGTTAGGATTTGGGTGGAGCCTCAAGTCTTGTGCTCCTCTGTCCCAGGCCTCCCACCTAAAAGAAAAACAGCGCTGCTGTCTTTCCAAGCCTGAGAAGGGAAGGAAGAGGGTAACATTATTATTCCTTTGTTTGGACCAGGAGGCGGGAGAGAAATGGGGTAGGAACAGGAGATAACGGCGGGAAAGCTGTAAGCCATTTTCCCCCCTTTTATGCCAGGCTTCCTGAGCTTAGTTTACTTCATTGTTGTTGTTTATTTTCTTCATTAAAAAGCTATTACAGGGGCCAGCCCCGCGGCTTAGCGGTTAAGTGCGTGTGCTCCGCTGCTGGTGGCCCAGGTTCAGATCCCGGGCGCGCACCGACGCACCGCTTCTCTGGCCATGCTGAGGCCGCGTCCCACATACAGCAACTAGAAGGCTGTGCAACTATGGATACAACTATCTACTGGGGCTTTGGGGGGAAAATAAATAAATAAAATTATTAAAAAAAAAAAAGGTATTACACTACTCAGCCATAAAAAATGACAAAATCGTCCCATTTGCAACAGCATGGATGGACCTTGAAGGTATTATGTTAAGTGAAATAAGCCAGACAGAGAAAGACAAACACCACATGATTTCCCTCATATGTGGAAGATAAACAAACACATGGATAAGGAGAAAAGATTAGTGGTTACCAGAAGGAAGGGGGCTTGGGGGGGTGGGCGAAAGGGGTAAAGGGGCACATATGTATGGTGATGGATAAAAATTAGACTGTTGGTGGTGAGCACGATGCAGTCTATACAGAAACTGATAAATAATAATGTACACTTGAAATTACACAATGTTATAAACCATTATGACCTCAATAAAATAATTGAAAAAAAAAAGCTATTACATGTTCCTCAGGGAATAGCCTTCTAGACCTTTCTTATGTATATATAGACACATATCTATGCGTGTTTATAGTTTTATTTTAATTTACTTTT